AAGCTTTAGGCACGCTGGACCCGTCGCCCATTGCCACTGGCCACATCGCCGCCACAACCTTTATCCTCCACTGTCATCGTTCATCCACCCCGACCCTTCCTCTCCGGTAAGTCCAGTGGCCGCCAGAGAATCACCGATTCAACTCAAAACTCGTCAATTGCCAGCCTCTGTTGTCTCCAAACTTACTGTCGCCGCTTTCTGTCTCTAACACCATCTCCATCGTCACGGCCTTCAGAGTCGGCGGGAATCAGAATCTCGAGGGCCAATTGGGAGGACATGGATCTGGTTGGAGACGGCGACGGCCAAATTGAGATTGTGCAAGCCTACCACAACGTCCAGCAGCACATACTTCGTCTTCTCCCAGGGCGGAGGCGGTCACGAACTTCGTGAACGACGTTGTGATTTGACAAAGAGCGTCGACGGAAACAAAGCCAGATTTGGGAAAATAAATAATATATATAGGTAATATATACAACATTTTTTATAAAGTTCGGTCGGTTCCGTTATTATTTTTTTTTAAATAAGGCTGAAACCAAACCAAAATGACCAAAATTTTAATATATGTGAAAATGCACATTAGCATAACAGTGTACTCACGCGGAGTCATTGTGTGGACACTGCGCAATGCACTGTCATGCTAATGTGCATTCTCGAATGTATTAATTTGTATTAAGTCTAACATTATTGTGCATCTGCGACTCGTGTATTTTTAACATGCATATCCATACACATATTGTACATTTTCTTACAACTAATTTGCATATATTAATTTTTAATAAATCACATATTTGACCCACGAACTAAATTGCAATACAATCAAAATTCATAAAATTACAAACAAGTCCCTTGTAACTATCTAATTTCTAAAATGAAGCCCTATGATACAAAATTAAAATTGTGGTAGTGATAATGTCTAAATTACCCTTAATAAGTGTAATATTCTGTCTTTTTTAGCCATTAGATCATTCGATCTAATGGATATGATTTATTCTTATTTCTTTGATTGAGCACATATATATATATATATACACATATAATTGGATGTCGTTTCTAGATTTTTGGCCTTATTTGGTAATCAGCGGTTAGTTGTTAGCTGTTAGCGGATTGCATTAGCTGTTTTGACCAGCGGATTGCGTTAGCTGTTTTGACCAGCTGATTGTGTTGGCGGTTTGTTAAAAAGTGTTTGGTAAAATTAGCTATTTTTAATTAACTGCTAACATGTAAAATTACTTATAAGGACATCAACATACTTGAAAATTATTTTTATGTAGATATTTATAAAGTAAAACACAAATATCTACTTTCTAAAAAACTCTGTTTCATTTAATGTTGTGTTGACGGTTTGTAAAAAAATGTTTGGTAAAATTAGCTATTTTTAATTAAATACTAACATGTAAAATTACTTATAAGAACGTCAACATACTTGAAAATTATTTTTATGTAGATATTTATAAAGTAAAACACAAATATCTACTTTCCAAAAAACTTTGTTTCATTTGTTTTTATTTGACAGCACATCTAAATCATTTTTATACCATACAATTGAATTAACAAAAATTTGGATACTAAATTCATTTCAGTTTTATTTTAACAGAACTAATATATTTTTACTTCTATTTTGTTCGAGTAATGTTTAATGGTGTTCGTGCTACTTTTAAAATAGCTCAATTTCACTTTTTTTCGACAACACATCTAACTCGTTCTTAAATCATACAATTGATTTTTTTCTTTTTGATACTAAATAAATTTCAATTTTATCTTAACAGAAGTAATATAATTTTACTTCTATCTTGTTCGAGCATCTGTTCTACTTTCAAAATAGTTTGGTTTTACTTTTTTATTTATTTATTTATTTCCGACAACGCATCTAACTCGTTCTTATACAACTGAATTAGTTTTTTCGGATACTAAATAAATTTCAGTTTATTGTAACGAAAATAATATACTTTTATTCTTTCTTGTTCGACGATGTTTGTTGGCGTCCGTTGTACTTTCAAAATAGCACGATTTTACTTTTTTTTTTTTCGACAATACATCCAACTCGTTCTAATACCATATATTTGAATTTTTTTTTCAGATACTAAACTAATTTCAGTTTTATTTTAACAATAATAACATACTTTTACTTCTTCTTGTTCGACCAATGTTTGTTGACGTCCGATCTACTTCTATCTTGTTCGAGAAATTTTTTTCGGAATACTAAATTAATACTATTTTTATTTCTCACATGATATAGAGATAAAGATGGAATCCATCTATTATTATTTTGTTTTCTTAGGGCGTGGCTTTCTTCAATTTTCATGAGAATAGATTTCTCAAAAAAAAGAAAAAAATGGAGCATTGTTATTAAGGGAAAATATGAACTTTTTATTTTATTTATTTATTTATTTATTTATTTATTTTTATCTTAGAGGTGGCATTTTTCAATTTTCATGAGAATGGATTTCTAAAAAAAAAGGAAAATGGAGACATTTAAGGGAAAATGTGAACTTTTATTTTGTTCTCTTCAAAAGCCAATTAAAAACGCTGCAATATCTAGCGTTTCAATTTTTAGCTTTTGAGCACCAAAAAGCCAATTACAAAAGCCATTTATCAAACAGAATTTTAGCTGTTTGAAAAAAGTCAAATCAGCTAATGTTAAAAGGCTATTTTTTTCACAAAACGGCAAACACCCCCTTTGTTTATTTATTTATTCATATCATTCAAAAACTTTGGCCGATTAGTATGGGAATAACCAAAATTGGGCGAATTGACATAACTAACTCGTATAAAAAAAATCAGTCCCGCTACAGGTACAACATATGTTGACAATTTTGTTTTACAAACTGACGTGGCATTAAAATTTCATTTAAAACTCCTGTGGGCCGTGTCATTAAAGTCCAGAACAGAGAAATTCACATTACACTCCTCACTCCCCAAAAATTCAAATTCAATCGTTAATTCCTAAAGCCCTAAATTGGATCGGTAATAGTGATGGGCAAAATCTTCTCCGTCGCGCTCGCCGCACTAGCAGCCATCTGCGGCGGACGGAGCCTCCGCCGCTTCAACCATGGTCTGGCCTACCGGGAAGCCAGAAGTGACCGTGAGTTAATTGGTAATCTAGAGCAGCCGGAGGCCAAGAACATCAGCGACTCGTGGTGGAGCTTGCTCTGAGGGTCCGGTGCCAGCGGGGAGGCGCGCGGCGCCTGGACAAGGATTCTACCCATCTCTCTCAGAAATGTAAAGGTTGAGAGTCTCATCAATGATGGCCAAAAGGGCCTGGTCTTGGGCACCCACCAGCTCGAGAACGATCTCGACTATCTTAAAGGCGCTGGCATCGAGCTCTTGTCCGAGGCTGATTCTCCGAAAGACGGCCAGGCTCGGGCCTTCGATTTCTTGTTGGTCCCAATTTTCGGCAAATGTCCCTTGCGGACGGGCTTGTCCGGGACAATGGGTTAGCCGTGTCGTCCCTGGGGCTAGACACACAGGCGGGCTGCGCCTGTTGAGCAACTACAGGATCGGGCATGAAGAGGTGCAGGCCCGTGAAGAGCCCAATGTGCGAGGCGGTCGGAGGAGACAAGGGAAGCGCTCAAGGGGCAGGATGACGTATTCCAGGAGACGGTGGAGGAGTCGTTGAGTACTTAAGGTATGTATTTGTGTCGAACGATTTGGGGCAGTGGAGTGGTTCGACGGGAACTACCCGACACATGGTCAAGAATTTACGGTGTACAATATGGAGGAGATGGAAGTGAGGATGGAGGATTATGTTGTTTCTTGAGTGCAGAACCAGTGGGAAAAATGTGGCTAATGTTGATATGTGACTGAGATTGATATGGGATGCTTATAATGTATATGAGGATGATATGTTTTGGGATATCTGATTGTATACTCGTGGGATGTATATTATGTTTCACACTTTGATGAAATATGATCAAATGTATTGATAGTTAATGGTTGGTACTACATGTTGAGATTTAACATATTTTGCTGCTATATGACACTTATTATGGAATAATTGGGTGTGTTTTTTGAGACCTGAATAGTTGTTGATGAGTGGAAAATAAGATAATGCTCATGATCCTGGGGTTAAAGGGAGCAGAAAGGCTTTTAGGCCTAAACTGCAAATTCCACAAGAACAATCCATAGCCCGGAGGGAGTATAAATAAAGCAGAAATAATGTAATTAACTTAACAGGAAAGAAGTCACTATCTAATAGGTACCAACAAAATCAGACACAAAAATTCAAATAATTTCTTCTCAACTTGATGACCAAAAGCCTCATATTATCTAAGTGTCTTCAAACACTCCCATCCGTCATTTGATATGGTGAATACTGGTTGCAATATTGAATCACATTATTACCTATAAAAAAAACGACATAAGATTGAATAACTAAACATACACATTATGGCATAGAAATTAACATGTTCAAAAATTGATTTAACCTTGAGAATTTAACTCCATAGAAGATTGATTTTGCACCTCAAATTCAACTCCAGTCTCCAATGCCAACATCTTACAAAATGAAAAAGAAAAACACAAGAGAACTAATACCATCAAGTAACATAAACTTAGTATTTGTTAGATAAAAAGAAAAAAAAAAAGACAAAACAGGAAAAACTAACATAAAGTAGCAGACTTCAGATTGACTTCTTACTTTTGTTTTTATTTCATATATCATTAATGGATAAAAGTTACATATGTTTCTGAATTATGGTTATCTTAACTTTTTCTAATGAAGTGATTTTAAACAATTAATCAAGAATTAATAACGAAAGTAGACCTTTGGCTCATTTGTTTGCTTGATTAGCTCTTTTGTAAGTCCCTTTCCTCTATTAATTGAAGGCGCCTGCAAATACATAAAACAATGAAAAGAAAAAGAAGTAATTTTATAGTATTTCATTTAACTATTGTGAATATACATAAAGATACCTCATTCTTCTTCTTTTTCTTATTCGAAGTCGACTCCAATGGACTTCTTTTTGCGAACTTTTCTTGGCACGCCCTTTCTTTTTGTCAACTTCGGATCTCCAACACCAATGGTACATGGAGTTTTGAAACTAGCAGGATCGTTGCAAATATATTTTTCACCAATATGTTTTAACATAGAAAGTTCTTGTGCTTGCAATTGGATCCATTCCATAATCATCCCGGCTCAAACTTCATCTTCTGCAGCAAGGTCTGCGACCTTGGCAAAAGCTGTGCACAAATTGTCGTACCTCAATTGTCCCGGAGAATTCCTCAATCCGTCATATTTCAAAGCAATCCTCGTGTATGGTCTCCTGACATCTCTTCTCCATCTATGTAATATATATTGATCAGGAAGTCTAAAGACGTCATTACGGATAAGGACTACAATTGAATGTCGACAGAGAATACCCCGGAATTCAAACATATGACAACTACAAACAACTTCACATTTTTCCCTATTGAAAGAGATAAAAAATGATTTCTTCTTGCGTAGGTAGCCACAAAATAAATCTTCTCGGACCTCGTAAATTGTCCCAAAACAACCTTCTGAAGAAGAAATGACATCACAGTAAACCTTACCCACAAACTCTACTTGGATTTCTTTAAATTTGGAAATAGCGTACACCGTTTGGAATTGCTTTTCCATCTCATATGTTGTTGCACAGGGGACTATTTGGCTGAATGATTTAAAATCAGCTTGGACCTCTTTTTCCACTTTATCTCTCAATGCTCTTTCGTATTGTTGAACGAATTGTTTCAATGATGTTTTTGAGTGGACGTACCCATCAAAAAAAGCATTCATGCTTTCACTTCATTGTGTAGTTGACATTCCAGCCCAGAAAAAAGTTTTTAGAAAGCATGGAACCCAAACACTACGGTTTTCGTACAATCCCAACAACCATTCATTGTCGCACAACGCATACTTTGGGGTCATTGACTCCCAGCCTTGTTCAAATTCTTCAACCGTTTGAGAGTCATACACCAATTCATGTATTGTTGAGAAAATTGAACCTTTATCGACATGATATTGGTCGTGCTGTCATAGGCACCCAAATTAACCTTGCTTGAATATATGTAGTAGCGTGAGCAAGGATCATATCCACGGGGAATAATTTAATTAGATGACTGTAACTATGTGATTAAAATGGGGAGAATTGATTTTTAATCCTAATTATCTAATTAACAAGAAAATAAAGAAAGCAATAGTAAACAGTTCTTGAACAAGAGATTCGCAAGCAACAGCAAGATGAGGATGAAAAATATTACCAAAGTGCTCCGGTTGAACTGATTTCCACCCCGAATTATTCTACTGATCCTTGATGCAAATATTATCAATTCATAAATACGTAGATGCCGTTGAATGATGAATTCTGACTCCTAAATTGGCTGTGCAAAATAAATCCTTCTACACAACTCTTATTACCAGGCAATTCCCAACATCGTGTAAAATTATCCTAGCAATAGCATTAAGAAGTAGAGCCCGACAACACAAGCAACAAATAACTAATCCGTTAGAAGCTAACTTGTATAACTATTTTGCCTAAGAATGACTTACAAAATGTATACGCATCACGGAATAATGTTGGCCAGAACAACCCACTCTCGAGCACCTTCATGGCTGTTCTCTTAGCACCAAAATGGCCACCACATGCATACGTATGGCAGAATGTCAGGACCGAGGAGATTTCATGGTCGGGCAGGCACCGCCTTATCACTTGATCACCACAAAACTTTCATAAGTATGGCTCGTCCCACACGTAGTACTTGGCATCGCTTCTCAGCTTATCTCGTTGTGCCTTTGAAATATCAGGAGGAAAATTATTAGTAACCAAATAATTCACGATATTTGCATACCATGGCATTCCAACAGCTGCTGCAAAAAGGTGTTCATGCGGGAATTCCTCTTGTATTTGGCTTGTGTCAGTCACGTGGGTTAAGCGGCTCAAATGGTCTGCCACACAGTTCTCCGTCCCTTTTCGATCTTTAACTTCCAGATCAAATTCACTCAACAGTAGCACCCATCTAATTAAACAAGGCTTTGACTCTTTCTTCGCCATCAAGTATCGAAGAGCTGCATGGTCAGTAAAAACAATGATTTTAGAGCCAAGTAAATAAGAACGAAATTTCTCCAAAACAAAAACAATTGCTAAGAGTTCTTTTTCAGTCGTAGAATAATTTCTCTGTGCCTCGTTCAATGTCCTGGAAGCATAACATATGACATGAGATGCCCTGACATGAGATGCCCTGCCAAGTCTCTGGCTCAACACCGCCCCCACCGCATATGTGCTAGCGTCGCACATGAGCTCAAATGGTTCAGTTCAAATCGGGGGCTGAACGATAGGTGCTGTCACCAGTGCCGACTTTAAAGTGTCAAATGCCTGATTACATTCCTCATTAAACTCGAAGCTCACGTCCTTCTGCAACAATTGGCAAAGAGGGTGTGCAATCTGGGAAAAATTCTTGATGAACCTACGGTAGAAACCTGCATGACCCAAAAAAGAACGGATCTCCCGAACACAAGTAGGATAAGGTAATGAATCGATAACATCAATTTTTGACTTATCAACCTCCATCCCCTTTGCAGAAATTACATGTCCTAACACTATCCCATGTTCAACCATAAAATGACATTTTTCAGAATTTAGCACCAGGTTAGTATCAATGCATCTTTGGAGAATAAGGGACAAGGTATGCAGACAACTCTCAAATGTATCACTATATACCGTAAAATCATCCATGAACACCTCAATGCATTTTTCAATATAATCAGAAAAAATACTCATCATACACCTTTGGAATGTTGCAGGTGCATTACACAGACCGAATGGCATGCGGCGGTAGGCATAAGTGCCAAATGGACAGGTGAAAGTGGTCTTCTCCTGATCCTCGGGTGCAATCGCAATTTTGAAATAACCTGAGTATCCATCAAGAAAACAAAAATAAGTATGACCGGCTAATCGTTCAAGCATTAGATCAATAACGGGTAAAGGGAAATGATCTTTGCGGGTCACAGAATTCAATTCCTATAATCTATACAAACCCTCCACCCATTCTGGATACGAGTGGGAACAAGCTCGTCATTTTTATTTCGCACGACGGTTATCCCGGTCTTTTTCGGCACCACTTGAGTTGGGCTAACCCACCCATTGTCTGAAATCGCATAGATAATCCCTACGTCCAGGAGCTTCAGCACCTCTGCCTTCACGACTTCCAACACCACCGGATTCAAGCGGCGTTGGGGTTGACGAACAGGTGTTGCTCCTGTTTCCAATAAAATGCGATGTGTGCAAATCGAAGGACTTATTCCCTTTATGTCCGAGATGGTCCATCCCAATGCTTGCTTGTGAGACTGAAGAACTTTCACGAGCTCGTCTTCTTGAGTTTTGGTGAGCTTGCTCGAAATAATCACTGGAAGTGTGTTTTCTTTTCCCAGAAATACATACTTGATATGGTCGGGCAAAGGCTTCAGTTCCTTGACGGGTGTTTGCAAAATGGAAGGCGGGGATTTTCGTTAGTATCGAAAGAACTAATACCGACAGACTCACCTCCACCATTGGTCTCTAAGCCATCTTCCATGATCACGTGCTTGTCCAATTCATTGGCTTGTCCTGGAGCAATGTTAGGTAGTGAGTTGTCCGCCAAATTGCTAATGACGTCCCCCATGGTATTATCCTCCGAAAGTGAAAATATTTCCTGAGTCAATTCATCAACCAAGTCAACAGAGAGCACGGATTCATCATCACCAGGATATTTCATGGAATTATATATATTAAATTTAATTAATTGATCATCAAATTCCATGGTAAGAATTCCATTATGCACATCAATCATGGTTTTAGACGTTTTTAGAAAAGGTCTTCCAAGTAAAATAGGAGTAGCAGCATTGTTATTCTCCATATCAAGAACATAAAAATCCGCCGGAAAAACCAAGTCTTTAACTTGAACAAGAACGTCTTCGACAAAACCCTTCGAAAATGCATTGGACCTGTCCGCCAATTGAATGATAACTCCTGTTGGACTTAAAGGTCCGAGCTTCAAAGAACTATAAATAGCATATGGCATTATGTTAAGATCCCAGATTTGCTCCCAGGTTGGTTTCCTTCACCAGTTCAGTTTTCTGCTCCAAGTCATTTTCACTACGAACATGGTCAGCGACATGGCCATGTTGGTTACGGGAACCTAAACTGCTGCTCGTGAGATTTCTCTTTTAACTCCAACTCTTTCCCACTTCTTAAGATCATGGAACTCACATTCTTAGGGTTTACCTCAGGTTGAGATGGGAGCTTTCCACTAGCTTGTGCCTCCAAACGATTCACAGAGGTTGCGAGCTGGCTCATTTGAGTTTCAAGGGTCTGGATGCTCACCTTGGTTTCCTTTTGAAATTGTAGAGTACTAGAGGCTAGTTGCTTCACGATATCTTCCAAAGAGGTGCCAGAATCTGAGTTTGGGGGCTGTTCGGGTGGTGCTTGTTTGCTAAATAATTGAGGGGGATGTTGCTGGAAACTCCCGCCATGGTTCGGGCAAGGCTGTTGGCAAAACGAGTTCCCATACCTCAAATTTGGGTGATCGCGCCAACCCGGATTATATGTACTTGGGAATGGATCATATTGCTACTTCCTGGGAAAGTTCCCATTTGTACCGACCGCATTTGCATGTGCCTCGATTTCATTTTCAATCACGGGACAAGAGTCGGTATCATGATCGGTGGTAGCACAAATTCGACAAGGCTTCACGGGCTTGGTTCCTCCAGTAACTAATTGTTTCACAAAAGTAGTCAGTTCCATTAGCTTTTCCTCTACAACAGACTTATTTGCTCCCGTCCCCATTTTAAGTGTCACATCGTTACGGGTGCCAAATTGCTGCGAATTTGCCGCCATGTGGCAATTATACGACTCGCTTCGGCCGGTGTCTTATCGACAAGAGCTCCGCCACTTGCAGCATCAACCATGTTCCTATCCATCAATGCCAAGCCCTCGTAAAAATATTGGATCAGTAGTTGCTCGCTAATTTGATGTTGCGGGCAGCTCGCGCACAGTTTCTTGAAACGCTCCCAATACTCGTACAAGTTCTCTCCATGTAATTGTCGCACTCCACATATCTCCTTATGTATGTTGGTAGCTCGGGATGCTGGAAAGTATCTCTCCAGGAAAAGTCGTTCCATCACCTCCCATGTTTCAATTGAGCCCGATGGAAGGTAGTAAAGCCAATCCGTAGCTGCATCCTTCAACGAAAAAGGGAATGCTCGCAACTTGATTTGTTCTTCTGTGATACCCGTCGGCTTCATGCTTGTGCAAACCAAGTGGAGCTCCTTCAAGTGCTTGTATGGGTCCTCACCTGCATGACCATAAAACGAAGGTAAATAATGAATTAGCCCAGATTTCAATTCAAAAGTAATGTTATCATCTATAGCAGTGAAAAGAAACGCAAAAGGGCTGAATATCCAAATTAGGAGCTGCCAGCTCCTTTAATGTTCTATTCGCATTCGCCATCTGGACCACGTCCAAGTCCTTTTCTTCAAAGTCCTCTTCCGAATCACTGTTAATCTCGAATAAGCTGGTAAGTGTCCCTCGTCTATAGGGGCTGCCCTCCGCCTTGCTTCTTTTCTCAACCTCTTAGCTGTTTTCTCAATTTCTGGGTCGAATTGAATATCTTCGGGAACACTCGAACGCGTCCCGAGCATCAACTGCCAAGTAAATAAAAATCAAACTAACCAAGCTGTTAGAGAATTAAAAGATAGCAGAGAAAAGACAAGAGAACTAATAATAATAATATTAATATTAATATTATTAATAATATCACACAATCAAAGATTTAATTAAAATAATTCCCCGGCAACGGCGCCAAATTTGGTCGTGCTGTCGTAGGCACCCAAATTAACCTTGCTTGAATATATGTAGTAGCGTGAGCAAGGATCGTATCCACGGGGAATAATTTAATTAGATGACTGTAACTATGTGATTAAAATAGGGAGAATTGGTTTTTAATCCTAATTATCTAATTAACAAGAAAATAAAGAAAGCAATAGTAAACAGTTCTTGAACAAGAGATTCGCAAGCAACAGCAAGATGAAGATGAAAAATATTACCAAAGTGCTCCGGTTGAACTGATTTCCACCCCGAATTATTCTACTGATCCTCGATGCAAATATTATCAATTCATAAATACGTAGATGCCGTTGAATGATGAATTCTGACTCCTAAATTGGCTGTGCAAAATAAATCCTTCTACACAACCCTTATTACCAAGCAATTCCCAACATCGTGTAAAATTATCCTAGCAATAGCATTAAGAAGTAGAGCCCGACAACACAAGCAACAAATAACTAATCCGTTAGAAGCTAACTTGTATAACTATTTTGCCTAAGAATGATAACGCCTAAATCCGGTCAATCACCACACTTAGATGCTTCTTACGATAGATAAATTATCTAAATCCGACTCAATATCTACCAAGCAATAGATTAAGCGCACAAGACAATAGTTGATCACACTACGATCCTAACACAAAATCATAAACATAAACACACAAAACAATTAATACGAAATATGAATTAATAGATAAAAACTAATTAGATCTTATAGTATTAAGTTCGGGGTTTCAATCATGTTCAACCAAAGCAAAAGAGAATTAGCCGCGCAGGGCTTCCATAAAGTCTAGCAAAAGAATATCCAAATTATCTAGAGAAAAAGAGGTGAACTTGAAGTTGCTGCTCGCCAAAAACCTTCTGCTCCCTTGCGGTTGTTATGTCTCCTCTCCCATCTAGGTTCTCAAAATCTGATATATGTCGCTTCTATTATGGTTGTTCTTTAGTAGCAATAATGGGCCCAACAATAATAGGCCCACATCCAAAATAACTCGGGTAGTATGTTCCTTACAAATCGAACATTGCCATGTCCATCAAAATTCCCCTGCTGCCATGTTGGTTATAACGATCAACTGCACACAAAATTCCAACAATAGTAGTTTCCACTCGAAATTATAAGATAAGGTCGAAAATAAATTAATTAAGCACAAATATCCAACATATTTTCTCAGTTACATTACAAAAGTAGCACGTATTTTCGACTTATCAGATATCCAAACTTTTCAGGCAATGTTTTTAGAATGTGCCACAAACACCATCTATGTCTCGTATTGGGGAAAACAATCCGAATGGCATTTTGCATTGCTCTGTCTTGATCGGTGATAATTCCTTGAGGAGCTTGACCGTTCATACACTTGAGCCATGTCTGAAAAAGCCAAACGAAGGTATCCGTATTTTCATTCGAGATCAACCCGCAACCTAGAAGTGTTGATTGTCCGTGATGATTAACACCAACAAATGGTGCAAAAGGCATGTCATATTTGTTTGTTAAGTAGGTTGTATCGAATGTGACAACGTCCCCGAATTCTTTATATGCTTCTCTACTTCGATTATCTGGCTAAAAAATATTCCGTAATCGGGAATCATCATCTAGATCCATGAAGAAGAAAAATCCAACACACCTTGTTTGCATATCTGAAAAATATGATATTATTGCTGCTGCGTCCCCCTCTCCCAGGCTTTACCGTCTAAATTTTTCGATATAGTTACGACAATCTTTCTCGACAAATGTCATATTATCGTATCCAGCCGCTTCAACTACAGCAGAATTGAAGCTTTTATGCAATGGAATTCCGGCCACGTCATTCACTTCAAGCCTTCGCTTTACACTTGCACTCAATTCTCTATGGCATCGATATAATCTCGACTTAGTTAGACTGCATTTGTGATTATGGTCGAGGTAAACTTTGTTAATTCTCCAATAACCATGATCATCTAAAGATGCCGAGATTCGAGCTTTGCAGTCTGTCTGAGTTGTTGGTTGCGACCTCAATGAGCCTCTTGTGCCACTCATTCTTTTTCCTTCACGACTACATGTGAAAGTAACATATCGTAAAATGCCATCATCATCCTTTCTCGAATTTCTTTTTCTCACTGCAAAACCGACACTGTAAGCATATTTTTTGTAGAAATCAAAGACGCTGTCTATATCTTTGAATTCCATACCAGCCTCCAGGGCACCTATATTCGTACTACAATATGTATTAACATTTTCAATCTCGAGCAACGGTTCATTCTCACCTCCTTTCATTACGATAGCTGAAGATGTTGTCTCGTGGTCTCGATTAGGGATGATGGGAACTGATGGGTTAATTTCGAGCAACGGTTCATTCTCACCTCCTTCCATTACGATAGCTGAAGATGTCGTCTCGTGGTCTTGATTAGGGATTATGGGGACTGACGGGTTAATTTCGAGCAACGGTTCATTCTCACCTCCTTCCATTACGATAGCTGAAGATGTCGTCTCGTGGTCTCGATTAGGGATGATGGGGACAGACGGGTTAAATTTGAAGATGGCTACTCCCACGATGTCTTCTGGCTTTTTGGTCGAACAGGGATTTTTTGACTGAAGGGTGAGATACGATTTGGTTTCTACAATTTTGGGGTTGAAGAGTTTTATTTTTATTTTTTTTATTATGTAAAATAAAATAATAAAAAAGAAAATAAAGGTGTGTGTCCCAATTAGAAAGCCACATCAGTTTGTAAATGAAAGTTGTAAGAAAAGTGTTAATATCCGAGTCCGACTCTTATTAAGATTCCGGTCTGAAAGATCGGGAGTCGGTTGGGGACCGGCCGACCCGGTGAAGCCGGTCACCGAAAGTTATTCATAAGTGCCGAGCTGAGCAGAAGTCAAAGTCAATAGAAATGACGGTCAGAGTTGGTCTCAGGGTCAGCACCTCGTTCTCCCCATCCGCGAGGTCGGTACCATGACACCCAACCGCGGATCCGACTTGGTTCGGTGTCGAGATCAATAAGGAACCACGGGCGACGGAGGGCGAACTATTATAGTCCGGCTCGGGATCATACCAGATCGGTCCCAAAAGGGGTTAAGGGGTTGAGGACCCAGAAAACAATTAAATAAGGCCACTTGTCAACTAATGATTGCCGATAGGACATCCCCGACTAGTCTACAGGGCTAGGACGTCTAGCTCGGCCAGAGAGCATGTCCGCATTAAATGCAGCCCACACCCGTATTAAATGCGTGGCAGGTAATGATTGGAAAATCCAGGAATCACTCCCAATCAGTCAGAGAAAAGGCGGTCCGTTCTGCCGAACTACTGTGCGACAAGACCGGTGAACAGTACCTGAACAGTGCCGCATTAAAGAGCACTATAAATAGCAACCCCCTCATTTATTTTTGGGTTGTTGAATCCCAACTGTCTAAACTCTCTCTACATTTTCTCTCTCTAGGCTCGTGTAAGAATTCTGTAAGAATTTGTAAGTATATCGCAAGTGCCGACCTCGTACGAGAGGCCGACCTCGTATTCTTTGATAAAATCATAATTGAACCGCATTTCCTTTGTCCTCTCCACATTACCTTTTTATTATTCATCATTTTAACCGTTGACCGGAAACGTCCATCAACAAAAAAATTATACCTTTTCTCATAAAAAAATACATTCAATAAATGATACCAGCCATCACCAATTCCACAAATGCTTGAATTTCAAAAAAATAAAACTACCAAAAGAGAAACCTAAAAGAATTTTAAAATTTCTTTTCTTCTCTCTCTTCTTTTCTTTTCTCTCTTTCCATTTGTTCTCCACGTATCTTCATCATCATGATCTTCTTCTTCTTCTAACTTGAGAAAGAAAACAACCAATAATAATAATAATAATAATAAT